TGTAGGTTAGTGTAATTGTTTGTTTGGTTGTTTGTGTGTGGGTGAGTGTGTGTGTGAAGGGATGTGAGTGGTTGTGAATTGTTGTTTATGTTTGTGTGGGTGGGTGTGTGAAGGGGATGCGGTTTGGTGTGGGTTTGTGTGTGAGTGAATGGGTGTGTGTGTGGGTGTGTGTGAGTGAGTGTATTTATGGACGTGTGGCATAATACGACATTTACAATTACAATTTTCTAGTGGATGGTTTGCGGGTGCTCTGGTTTGGTTTTCTCGTTCTTTCCTCTCAAACATCTATCGTCCTGGTCTTTTCTCTTTTTTGGGGGGGTTTGTTAATCTCTTTTAACACCTCTAACATTTGGCACTTATATGACGTATATGTGTTGCAAGTGTCATAAAACCCTAACTAAAAGTAATAATTCTCTTGTAGCACCTCTACTCTTTTGCACTTATATATGGCATCATTGTGTTTCAAGTGCCATAAAACACTTACTTAAACTAAAAACTCTCCGGTAACACCTCTAATCTTCAGCACATTTATGACCTAGTGGTGTTGCAAGTCCGTAAAAATGCGTACTAAAAAACTAAAAACCAAACAATTTAATTCTTCCTGTTGTCTAATTATCTTCTGCCTCCCCTCCTGTGACAACAGAGTGTCAGGTGCCATGGACCGGCCCGCCTACCTGCCGTCCGACGCCAACGCCACGGCCCAGGAGTCGCTGGAAGGTTTCGTCATCGGTCTCTACTCAGACGTCTTCAACGCCGTGGTTTCTCTCATCAACAGGTGAGTGGTGAATACTTCAGAGAACTCACCGGTAGATGTTTTATTTTTAACTGTCACTTGCCATGGATAGTAATTTCCCCGCTAGAAATTGATGTTGAGAAGAGGAATTCAATGTCAAAACTGGTAGTTGATCAACTGTATATACCTGCCCTTTTTTTCAATGAGGTCCAAAAGTATCCCATATGCTGAACATTGTCTGGACTGTTTCAATAAAAGGGAAGTAAAGCTGAATATGGTTGCTATTAAACAATTACTTGGTTATTGTCCTTCTTGGGTACGACATCTTGTGATTGCTGCTCTTGACATGGAATAAATAATATTGGTACTGAGCTGTTTTCCTGGGCTGCACTCTAGGGTTTTCACACTAAATAATCAGAATATTTGAATACAGGTGGAGGGTTTTCCTACTGCTACATTCACCCCTTATTATACGTGTGACCTACAAAAATGGGCCAGTTTTAAAGTCAAAGTGTTCCCCATGTATTATAAATGAAGTAGCTGGGTAGATTAGAGCTCATCGGCTGGGGACAACAAGCTATCTAGGAGAAGGAAAACTCAGGTTCCAAACCTCCTCTGCTATATAAGTATACTTTTCTGAAAAAGGCTACAGGAAGGACACCTCTGAAGAAAACCCAGGGATAGATCATGACCTTCAGGCCTTTAGAAGTAATCCCTTCAGTTGCAGGTCCCACACATTTACCTCTGGTCTTGGACACCTGGTATTTGTACCTATATATTTGGCTGTCATTTCTCCTATATTTTAGACAAACAATCATGTGTGCGATAGGGTTTTCATGTTCATAGTTTATACGTAGGTGCCAATCGTGTCTGCTTTACCTGCATTTGGTTATTTTACCAACATTTAATCTTTTTATCAGCATTTTATCATCGTTGTTATCTAAATCTGAATGTTAATACTTGTGTATTCTTTGTGGTTTTTGTGCTAACAGTTCTCTCTTTGCTCTCTGCCCCCCCCTCCACCGTCCTCACATCCCACCCCTCCTTTTCTCTCTCCCCTCCTCCCTCTTCCACCCCTCCTCCACCTCTCCCCACCCCTCTTCCTCCTCCACCCTTCTACCTCTTTCCCCCTTCATTCCTCCACCCATCCTCCTCCTCCCCCTTCTCCTCCCCTCCACCCTACCTCCCCCTCCCCACCTTCCACCCATCCAGATCTCTATCCTCGAGTGTGCGTGCCATGAACACCATCACCATCGTGGATGGGCCAGGCTTCCAGAGTCCGGGGACCAGCGGTGGGCGTGGCTCCGGGGCCACCTTCGAGGATCTGTGCCACAACTACACGCAGGAGAGACTGCAGGCCTTCTTCCACGAGATGGCCATCTCTCTGCCCATGGACACTTACTCCGAGGTCAGACTTCACATGCACACTCACACACGCACACACGCACACACACACACACTCACTCACTCACTCACTCACACACATACACATACACACACACACACACACACGCACACATTCACTCGCTCACCCATCTTTCCCAGGGTAGGCCCTGGCAGGCAGAGTCAAAGCAGCCTGCCTCCTAAATGACCATGATTGTGTCAATTTAGGCCTAAAACATCTGTTCAAGACTGTCACCTGTACAAACGGCTACTTCCCATTTCCTTCCTTGCTTTTTTTTTTGTTGTTGTGGTTTTTACATTTTAATAACACTGTGTAAGATGGCCACCTGTCTAAGATAGACACTTTTGTCCTCAACAATGGGTGGTCATCTTTTACAAGTTCATGGGTGGTTAGCTGGTGCTCTGGTATGGTTTGCTCCTTGTCTCATATAAAATATCTATCCTACTTCTCTCTCGTCTTTCTTTTGTATGTCTCTTTAACACCTCTAATCTTCAGCACTTACATGACCTAATTGTGTTGCAATTGCTTTAAAACTCTTACTAAAACTTTTTTTAAAAGACACTCTAAGTGTAGGTATAATTTGTGTGAAGCATCTGACAAATTCTTTCTCTCGTATCGCTGTCACCCAGGAGGACATAGAGCTGGACTTTGACCCCGTGTTGTCCAGCCCGGCCTCCATCGTCAACATGCTGGACAAACCTCCTCTGCAGGGGCTGGTACGTGTGTCTCTCACCTCTCTCACTTGTTTGTTTGTTGCTTTGTTTGTTTGTTTGTGTGTGTGTGTTTTTGTGGTGCATTTTTTTGTGTGTGTGTGGTGTTTGTTTGTGTGTGTGGTGTGTGTTTGTGGTGCATGTTTGTTTGTGTTATGTGTGACTTTGGTATATTTGTTTGTTTGTGTGGTGTGTATTTGTGTGTGTCTGTTGCAATTGTTTGTTTGTGCTGTGTCTGATTGTGGTGTATTTATTTGTTTGTATTATGAGTGTATGGTGTTTTTGTTTGTTTGTTTCTGCTGTATGTGTTTGTGTGTGTCTGTTGTATTTGTTTCTTTGTTAGTTTGTGTGGTTTTGTGTGTGTGTGGTTTTGTATGTGTGTGTGTATGTGGTGTATTTATTTGTTTGTGTGCTGTATGCTTGTGGTGCATTTGTTTGTATTGAGTGTGTCTGGTGTTTTTGTTTGTTTGTTTCTGCGGTGTGTGTTTGTGCATGTCTGGTGCATTTGTTTGTATGTTTGTGTTATGTGTGTGTGATATATTTGTTTGTTTGTGTGTGTACTTGTGTGTATGATTTATTAGTTTGTTAATGTATTGTGTGGGTGTGTGTGTGTGATGCATTTGTTTGTTTGTGTTGTGTGTGTGGTATGTTATGGATTTGTTTGCAGCGTGTGATATATTTGTGGTTATTCATTGTGTTTTTGTGGATTTGTGTGTTGGTGGGGTTCAATTTGAGTTTGTATATGTTTTGTCATCTATGTGTATACTCATGTTTGTGTACATATGGACATTTGCTAATTTATTCTATTCTTTTTATAGATTTAAAGCTTTGACATCCACTGTGACATCAGACTTGTCTTCCAAATGTTTCATTTCCTTCTTCCCTTTTTCATAAACAATCATAGAATGCATTTATGTCAAGTGCCGTAAAAAATGTACTGAATCAAAACGCAAAGCATTTATATATTGCAAATTATCTTCAACTTTAAGGTAGTCTGTGGGCTGGTTACAACTTACTGTTGCTCCAACAGATGCTATGGCATCCGGATCACCATTTTGCATGCCCTCAAACACCAGCATATTGACAAATCATCGCCCTGGTGATAAGTGTGATAAGTCAGCTTAACCAACAAAATATTTTTAAAAACATATTTTCCGCATATGAAGACAGACTTGTGTTTTCTGGCACTCTAAAACGTATTTGACTGCTCAGTGTAAGACTGTCGTACATCAGTTTTCAAAATGACATATGGCGGAGTCTAACACTAAGCCGTCGAAATCGTCTAAATTGTCTTGATAGGGAAGTAGAACATTTAACTTTTGTTTTTTAAATTATCAGTTAAATTTCTTTTCTCAGGTCCGGTCCTCAACTTCCGATCTGAAGAACGCGGACAAGAAAGGTCTGCTGTGGATCTTGGACGAGGAGGCCATGTTCCCTGGAGCGACTGAAGACAGCTTTATGGAGAGACTCTTACAGCAGCACAGTGAGCAGCCCGTCCGAAGTGAGTTGGAGTTGGGGGGTTTTTTGTTGTTTGTTTTTTTTGGTGGGGGATGTTTGGTTTTTTATTTTTTTAATAATTTTTTTTTGTAAGCTCACACACACACATACACGCACACACACACAAACACACACAGTCTCTCTCATAGCCACATTCACACTCTCGCATACGCACACACACATACAGACACACAGATGTCCTTTTCTTCAGAAAAATCTGAAAGGTGCATATCTTGTGGATAAATCTGAAAATCAGTATTTTTGAATTTGTTCAGATTGTGTAATGTTTTCTTGCTTATACATGTATTAATATTTTATTCTCTTTCTGTGTGACATATTGCACTACAAATATATATATATAAAATAATCTTGATTCAAGATGTGTTGATCATGATCAATAAATTTTGTATCCCATCGGGTGCAAAAAGTTCATCAGTTTTTCTTAACCAGTTGGCAATTCTACACAAATGCTGTAATACTCTTACTGAAAAGCCGAAACTTCGACACTTAAATATGACTTGTTAGTGTTGCAAGTGCAGTAAAACTCTGACTACAGCTACAACTAAAACTACAACTACTTTTGTGTGTGTGTGTCAGAGGAGAGCCTGCTGCGCAAGGGGTCGCTGGGCCACACATTTGTGCTGAACCACCAGCTGGGCACCACGCCCATCCAGTACAACGCCCAGGGCTGGCTGCGGGCCTGCAGGGAGAACCCCACCTCACGCAACGCCACACTGGTGCTGCAGGACTCCAAGAAGTCAGTCTCTGTTGTCGTCGTTACCATTATCATCATCGTCATCACCATCTTTATTGTTGTTGTTGTCATCTATATCATGGTCATTGTCATCATAATTTTTGCCTCTGTCATCACCATTTTTGTCAGTATGAGCATGATCGTGTTCATCTTTTTATGTCATCCTTATTGTCATTATTCTATCGGTGTTGCAAGTGCAGTGTAATTCTTACTGTAACTTCAAACTAATTGTCATTATTACTGTTACCATTATCATCATCTTAGATGTCATCATCTTAGATATCATCATCATGCAAGTTTCTGCCATCGTCAGCATCATCATCATCATCATCATCATCATCATCATCATCTTCATCATCATCATCTCTTTCCTCCTGTCACTACTTTTCTTATCTACCACCATTTTCATCTTCATCATATAGGTAATTAAGCTACATTTTTTGTGCTTTGCTCTGTGAAATGATTAAATGAAGTAGATCTGAGGTGTTTTCAAGTGAGCAGCACAAGTATCTTTGAAGCTAAGGATAGGGCCTCAAATATTAGGATGAAACTTAATATAAGCAACATTTACATTCTTTTTTAGCATATTACAGTTGCACTTTTCCTCCAAGTTCCATATTACACATTTTGGCTCTGACTCACTGAAGTAAATTTCCCCTCATGTGACTCAATTTCTTGTGTGTGTTTCCTCAGATCTGCCATCACCCAGCTGTTCACCTCCCTCAAAGGTCAAGGGGTCGGGCTGGTCAGTGGCTCTGTGGCGGGCATGGAAGGGTCCACTTCTCTCCGCAGGGTGGGCAGCATGCGCAGGACTTTCGTCTCAGGCCAGGCTGGCCTCAAGAAAAAGTCGGTCTGTCTGCAGGTCAAGTTCAACGTGGTGAGTTGGCCATTTGGCTGGCATTTCATGTGAGAGGTCTTTGTGTCGGGATTGCCTTGTTAGCTTTTCTTGTGCTAAATTCTGTAAGTCAACTGTCAATATTTAGGTTTGTTGTTAAATGTTTTCACATCCTGGCTGAAAAACTATAAATATTGTTTGGTACATAAGCGTTACCTTTTTATTATATTATGAGAAATGTGAAATCTTCATCTGAAAATGGACTTTGGCATTTAGCAACCCCGCCCCTGTTTGTTTATTTACCCTTGGTACCAGTTTAGTAGTGACTTGGTATTATTTGAAAAATTGTTTATTTTGTCATGTGCACAATTGTGGTTAACTGAGGGTCTGAGCACTAAAGGGGGCTCTCGTGGCCTAGAGGTTAAGGTGTTGGCCTCTCATTCAAAGGTCCCGGGTTCGAATCCGGGTAGCGACCGAAAAATTTTCTTCTCTAAAATTGTCTCCTTTCACCTCCTTTCCTGCTCTCTAGCAATATTCTGTCGTCTGCTTTCGTCTCCTCTTTCTGCTCCCACCCCCTCTGCCCCATCCTCTGGGCTCCTGACTCTTCCCGCAGCCTTTCTACTGCTACTCCTTGACTCCTTCTTACAGCTGTCTCTCTGCCACATCCCTGATCTTCTGGTAGGAAAGATCTACACCTAGCCTTCTCGGACAAGGGCGAAAAATCTCGGAGGGCCCGTGTGCAAGTTGCGCACGTTAAAGATCCCTTGGTGAAATAAAATCGATAAGAGTAGGCTTCGGCCGCCACCCGGGCAAAATTCAAAATTTCCTACCAACTAAGGAGTATTATAAGTCTATTGATTTCGATCAAATACCACTTTTAGTCGACTCTACTGAACAATGTACTAGAGATTTAAAAATATGGATGACCAGCAATAAATTGAAACTAAATGATGACAAGACGGAAATAATGTTGAGTGGAAATACAAAAGCCATTAAAAATCTCCCAGAGCTACAAATTGATATTAATAACCATACCATTCGTTCAAAAAGAAGTCTTAAAAATCTAGGGGTTCAGTTGGATTATGATATGTCTATGTCCTCCCAAATAAGCCAGCTCAGCAAAAGTATTTACTTTCAGCTTAAGAAAATTGGCAGTGTAAGAAATTATTTAACTAAAGCAGCAGCCAAGACACTTGTAACAACACTCATTTTATCAAAGTTAGATTACTGTAATGTTATTTTGTCCGGTTTGACATCCGAAAAACTATCAAAGTTACAAGTACTTCAAAATCAAGCAGCAAAATTGATAATGAAACAAAAGAAATCAGCCCACGTAACACCAATTCTGAAAGGACTACACTGGCTGCCAATAAAAGAAAGGATTAAATACAAAACTGCCGTTCTCTGTTTTAAATGTATAAATGATAGTGCACCTTTTTATCTTAAAACATTCCTGGAATTATATAATCCACCTAGAGCCCTTAGATCAGCCTCTGACAATCTAATTCTTAAAACTACAAAACAAAACTACAAAACATACGGCGAGCGTTCCTTTTTGTTCTTTGGTCCCCAGGTATGGAACGAAATCCCATATAAAATAAGATCTGCCCCAACAATTTCCATTTTCAAAAATCAGCTGAAGCATTTTTTATTCACAAAAGCATACCTGTCATAATGATGTACTGTGATATATATGCATGTGTATGCCAGACTGTGAGACTGAAGAAATAGCGAGTGAGAATGAGAGAGAGAAAAAGAGAGAGATAGAGAGAGAAAAGAGAGAGAAAAGAGAGAGATAGCGAGAGAGAAAGAGAGAGAGATAGAGGGAGAGAGATAGAGGGAGAGGGAGAGAGAGAGAGACAGACAGACAGAGAGAGAGAGAGAGAGAGAGAGAGATAGAGTGGAAATGTTTTTCTATCTGTATAGAATTAATGTTTTAATGAATGTTTCTAGTTACTCACGTTTCAACTGTATTTTGACTGTTCGTGAATTTATATTGCATTGTATATTTTTAGTGAACACATTTTCAACCTCACTGCGAGACTGTTTTTCTGGTATAAAATTTTACACATATGCATTTATATTATATGTATAATACTTTGTTTTACGTACACATTTGTGTCGATTAATTTTTAAGATGTGATGTCTTTTTCATTGTAATGCGCATTGAGCATCTTTTAGGAAATGGAAATGCGCAGTATAAATGCTATTTATTATTATTATTATTATTAAGTGTGTCCCGCGCACTCATATGACCTTATGCAGTTGCGAGCGCCGTAAAACCCTATACTAAACAAACAAAACAAAGAGCACTAAATGACGGTTATTGTGATGATGCGCTTCTCTTTACTCAAACAAACAAACAAAACTGTCAAATTCTGTTTGTGGATATAAACCTATGAGGTGTCTCTTTCTTTCGCCACACCAGGATTCTATCGTGGACATTTTGAAAAAGACCAACGTCCACTTCATCCACTGCGTCCTCCCCCACCACTGGGCCGGGCTCGGGGAGCTGCGAGCCTCTCAGGAGGACAATGTCCTCAACATCCCGCTGGTGCGTAACCAGCTGCGTGGCTTTGAGATACTGGACGCTGTACGGCTCTACAGGCAGGGTGAGTGAATGGGGGACAGGGGGGAAGGGATGTTTGGATGTGGGGAAAGAGGGGAGGGTGTGAGTGGATGGGGAACAGGGGGAAGGGGTGAGTGGATGTGGGGAAAGAGTGGGGGTTTGAGTGGATGGGGGAGGTAAGTGGATTGGGGGCTTGGTACCGTCTTGTTCGATGTGGATTTAGGGTCCCTTCTTCTATACTGTATGGTTATTTACCAGGTTACTATAGGTTGTTTGTTGTTTTCTTTTAGAGCTGACAAGCAGAGAAATGAAAGACGAACCATGAATGTTGATATCTTTTCAGACCTGGTACGTGAAGAAGAAGATTGTTTGTTTATAGCCGTCTTTAATGTAGCAGTTTGATGCTTCGCCATCACACACCGAAGACCTGAAAGTGGTTCAGGTGTGATTAGAATTTTTGTCAAGTATCTCAGTCTTTCTGCTGGGATGTTACATCCTCTCAGCCCGGGTTGGCCCTGACTGGCAGGGTCAAAGCTCTTCTGATAATTAATCTAAATTGTGTCAACGAGGGCATAAGAACATCATGTACATTTTAACAACAACAAAATTACATTAAAAAGAAGATTGTTCGAGAACGGGCAAGACCTCCTGATTTATTAGAGCCCATCTCAGGTAGCACAAAGCCATATGGATGGTAAGACGTAAGAACCTGTAAAGCAACCTAAGTTCAAGAACATCCTGTTGAGGGAGTTCAAATCAGGGCCATCCACTTACCAGCTGATATGAAGAATGATATCAACCGAGTTAACAAGTGAAGTGGCTTACTGCCCATGTATGTGTTTTTTGTAGAAATGAAGGGAAAGGCTTGCCTCCGAGCTCCAAAGTCAAAGTATTTGATGGCTGTAAACCTTGTTTCGGTATTTTGAAGCTGACATTGTATGAAAGTTCCATTCGATTTCATAAAAATGGGCATGGAAATGTGATTTCAAATTTAATAACGCATTGGCTAATACAAGCAAATTTAAGTAAAGTATTTTTTTTTAATGAGCTTACTCTCTTACAGCTAGAATTAACAAATTGACACTGATGATTATGTACTAGAGGAATTAGAGACGTGCTACAGAAATCGAGAATTAGGAGACCCGAACAAGTTCCATTCTGAAAGAGTTCTCTCCACTCCCTCAAATAACGACATTTGACCACATTGTGGGGTTTTTTCCTGGCTATTAGAAAATTACCATTCATCTTCCTTTATGCACAGGTTTCCCAGATTCGATGCCGTTCCCTGATTTCATCAGCAAGTTTGAGCCTCTCGTTCCTGGCGTGAAGAGTGGCAGAGGAGACGGGGACGAGAAAATCGTAAGTTATGCTTCTCTTCATTCTTACTGCGATGGGTATGTAAATGAGGTAACTTTGCTCGGTAAAATATGGCTCTTACTCTGCTGACTTGCCATATACTACTCGAGAATTCTGCATAGTTTTTCAAATGTTGCTATTGTCACTGGCTTTAAAAAAGTGGACAGGTGGGGGGGGGGGGTTTGGTTTTTTCAATATAATTTTTTTCTTTTTTAATTATCACAAATAAATAAAGAAGTATTTTCTTCAACTTTTTGGTATGGAGGATTCCTCACTTGCGTGCAGAGCTGTGATTCAACATAAGCTCTCAACAGCCTCGGCTCAAAGCTCAGAGGTTTTCCCACCGTGCTATGACATAGACAATATCTGCTCCGGCATGTGACCTCTGACCCCAGCTCTTGTGTTTTCTTCCTTCCCTCCTCAGGTGAGTTCTCTGATCCTGGATAATCTGGACGTGGACAAACTCAACTACCGTGTGGGCAACTCTAGGGTAGGTTTTTGGTGTGTGTGTGTGTGTGTGTGTGTGTGTGTATGTGTGGTGTGTGTGTGTGTATGTGTGTGTGGTGGGGGGGTTCATGTATGTATTCTTTCATGTGTTTGTTGTTATCAATTGTTCTTTTATATATTTTTTGTGATGGCTGGGTCTGTTTGAGAGTGAACATATGTTACGTGTATATGTGTTTGGAAGGAAAGGTGTGTGAGAGAGTATGTTTGTATGAGTGTGTGTATGGACGTTTATGTGTGTGTCTGTTTCTGTGTATGTGTGTTTGTGCGCATGTGTCTGTCTCTGTGTGTGTGTATGTGTATATTTCTGTGCATATGGTGAAACACCAAACGAATGTGCCAATATCTGGACAACAAAGATTAATCTCATCGGTTTCTCCAGGTGTTTTTCCGGCCGGGCTGTCTGACCCAGCTGGACAGCAGCCGAGACGAGAAGTTCACAGGTGTTGTGGAGCAGTTCCAGGCCTTGTGCCGAGGCTACCTGGCACGCAAGAACCTAGAGAAACTCAAGGTCAGAATGGCAGATTTTTAAACAATTCTAGTGATGATAATAATAATAATAATGATAATGATGGAGGCTCTCGTGGTCTTGAGGTACGGTGTTTACCTCTCATTCAGTAGGTCCTAGGTTCGAAACCTGATAGCGACGGGGAAAAATTTTCTTCTCTAAAATTTACTCCTTTCACTCCCTTTCCTGTTCTCTAGACATGCTCTGTCAACTGCTTTCATTTCCACTTTCTTCTCCCCCACCCCCACCCCGCCAATCACCCCGGGCCTCTTGGTTCCTCTCTCTTTCACTCCTGACATGTACTTCTTCTCCTGGCTCCGTCTTACTGCTCTCTTTCAGGCACACCCCTGATCTTAAGATAGGTAAGATTGAACACCTAACTTTCTCGAATAAGGCCGAAAAATCTCAGAGGTCTCGTGTGCAAGTTGCGCTTGTTAAAAATCCCTTGGTGGTCCTAAAATTGATAAAAGTAGGCTTCAGCCGCCACTTGGGCAAAATTCCGACCAAAACTGAAAATACCCTGGTCTGTATAAAACATATAGAGTACCTTCAAGATCGGAATGTGTCTGCCTGATAGCAAGTGGCCCTACTAAGTAGAAAAAAATGATCACATGTGTAAAATTCAGTTGCATTGCAGGTTGAAGAACCAGCAGTCAACTACTCCTGAGATCAAGCAGGGGAGTGCAAAGAAGAAAAAGATAATAGCGATAATAATGAAGGTTGCTTAAGGTTCCACTTCTTTTCTTTCTCTCTGTGGTTTCTGTTTGTCTCTCTTGCCTCTTCCCTGCACTACATGACTGTTATTGTGTCGTTGTGCTGCTGAAAAAGCGGGTTTACTCACCGTATATGCTGTGTTCCCAGGTTCAACACACGGCCATCAGATGCATCCAGCGAAACGTGCGCAAGTACGTACAGATCCGCGAGTGGGAGTGGTGGAGGCTGTACACCAAGGTGAAACCCATCCTCAACGTACACCGCACGGAGGAGGAGCTCAAGGAGAAAGAGGTCCGTTTATGTGTTTGTATGTGTGTATGTTTGTCTCCATGTGTGTGTGCATTTTTGTGTGTGTTTGTGAGTGGGCGTTAACGCATATGTGTATCAACTGGTTGGTGTAAGACTCCGTCATATGTCTTTTTTCAAAGTTTTGTGTGGCAAAATGTTGTTCTGAGTAGTCCATTTGTACATATATGGGTGTAGTAGTAGTAGGAAATGTTTTTCTGTGGATCATAATATTGAAAGTGCATAGAGGAAAGCATGCTGTAGACCATGGGTAAGTGCTGATATAAATACTATTGTTATTATGAATGTTATCATTTGAAAGTGAGACTTTTTGGCCTTTCCTTTTTTTGTGTGCCTTTTTTTGTGTGCTCTCATATAAGGAGAAATTTGCCCCAACATTTTTTTTGCCTTAATGTGACTCTTTAATTATGTAACATACATGTATTTGCCCCATCCTCTTAGACTAATGTGTCTGTTCCCTTGTGTGTCTCCCCCCACAGGCTGAGATCGAGCTACTGAAGAGCCGCAATGAGAAGCTGGAGAAAGAGAGGTCTGAGTACAAGACACAATGTGACAGGCTGGAGAATAGGGTCAGTGGATGTTGGTGTCTGTCTGTCTGTCTGTCTGTCTCTCTATCTGTCTGTTTCTCTGTCTGTCTGTCTTTCTGTCTGTCTCTCTCTCTCTCTCTCTCTGTCTCTCTCTCTCTCTCTCTCTCTCTCTCTCTCTCTCTCTGATAATAATAATAATAGATAGCATTTGTATAGCGCATATCCCCGCTCAACAGCAGGCTCTATGTGCTTTACACTATATTATTACCCCAG